AGTGATGCCGTTTTTGATTTATGATCTCGTCCCTTCAATTGTTCTCAATGCATGGACCGTGATAGGAGAGCTCGTCGTACTCGTCTGGCACACGAAGATTGTGGATACGGAAGCTTATCTTGTAGGTTTATGCAGAAATATGCGATAACTTTAGTTCATTCTTTTCTAGGAAAGCGTCTCGAACACTCAATGATTTTCTTAATGTTACAGCACAGTGCGCCTGCTAGCCTCATTTATAAGCAAGCCCAAACTTTACATTTCTTAGTTCACTCCCGGCGTATATTCGACGTTTCGGACCAGCAGTGATATTTTCGACCGAACGATACGAGTCCTTCAACCATGTATTTCGTTTGTCGTGTGTATACAGTAATCGCCAAGCACCAAGCCGCGACTCCTGCCGAACATTCGCTCATCAAGATATCGTCAAGCACATTGTCACAGGGTGGGTATTGGTACGATAACAAAGCCTCAAAATGGGTCCGGGGAGGAGCGCAAGTTCTAGGGTATCTCGATGAACACCCAGAGCAAGCACGATTGCTCGGATTATCGGTCTTCAATCGTAATACTCCAGTACCTGGTAGTCCTAGCTTATTATTTCACTCTATCGCTACTGATTCTTTTCACACAGGTTCCGGGAAAGTTCAGACTTCTCTTGGTGCCAACGGAAAAACGGCAAGAAATGATATAGTAGCCTGGAAAGAAACTCATTGCTCGAAGATCCTGAAAACTGCCCAGCCTGACATCGCTTACTATCAAGGCAAATCAGTCGTAGCGAGGGAAGGGGATATCGCATATCTGAATAGTCATGTTATTTTCCACCGAACGACTGATGGTCAGGTGAGTGAATTCCTCACTGTATGGTTCTTGATTAATTGTTAGACATGCATTGGACGTGTTCGCGAGATCCTTGTATCATCCGAGAATCCGAACACCGTTGTTCATGTTGGACTCCAGCTCTTTTCATTCGCAAACACTTTACACGCTTCTGTCCATCTACCCTGTCTGAACCTGATTGATGACGAGGTTGTCACACCGGCGGTGGTAAATTTGATATCCCATTGATCGTGTGCGCTATTTCTGACCCTTGCGAGGCTATAGGATATCATATGCGTCATTAATCTCCAGCACAACTGTGTTGATTCACAGTGTACAGACACCATCGAGGAACCTGTGCGCCAAGAACGGCTCGAAACTTCTCGTACAAAACCTATCATTCAGCACAAGTCAACACCACACTACTTCATCAATGCCTACTCTATTCATAACTACGATCATATCAATTCTGTAATTCCTGAGACGCTTCGTGATTCACCGCTGAGGGTTACGAATGTCGCAGAGATTCGGGAAATGGCCGTACGACAAATGAAGCAGAAGAAGACTTTGAAGAAATCTGATGACGTACCTCAACTAGATGCTAATATGGAACATGATACCCAGATCCCTCTGGTGGCAGTTCCCTCCTTCGATCGGGCCCCTCCCAAGTCAAGGACTGCTGCAAAATCAAAGGCAAAGGCAACCACTTCCAGCACGCGAAGGAAGGCAGCAACATTGAAGACTGGTCAAGCAACTGCCGGACCCTCTAGCCAGCTTCCGCCTGCTCAGCAAGACTCAACGATTCATATCGGAGATCACCAAAATCAAGCCTACTTTGCGCCGCCACCAGGATTCCCTCCTCCCCAGTACTACTACCCTCCTCACCATTCACAACTTCCTCCACCACAGCTATATGGTCCGCCGCCACCAGCTCTGTATCTTTACTCCGGAGGTTCACAACAACGTCATGAGGTTTTAGAAAGGTCATATACCGGTGAGTTCTTCGCCGTTATTATAGCATAAAAAATCTAACTACACTCAGGCTATAACATGTACCCAAATCAACCCGAACCGCCACATCTACAGCCACAGCCACATCAACAGCAGCAACAGCACCTGCAATTCCATCCGCACCCCCACCCCCACCCGCAACATTAGTTAGTGGTGGTGGCATACTGCAACTGCGACAGTGCCTGCTTCCGCTACCGCAACAAGCCTTAATCCACTTCTCACCCGACTGCGACGATGCCTGCTTCCACTACCGCAACAAGCCTTAATCCACTTCTCACCCAACTGCGACAGTGCCTGCTTCCGCTACCGCAACAAACCTTAATCCACTTCTCACCTAACTGCGACAGTGCCTGCTTCCGCTACCGCAACAAGCCTTAATCCACTTCTCACCCACAGCACCAGGTGGAGGAAAAGCAATACTTGCTGCTCCCAGTGGTATCAAGGTTCTCTGGTATCTGTCGCGCCAACCTGTCCTGTAGATGGAGGGACTTTGCTTTGCAGCCTCAAGAAAGTATTATCATATGTACTTATAATATGAATTTGGACCCCATCTCCCTCCTGTCTGATTTGTCTTGATGTGTGAGAATTGACGAATCTCGGTTGGGTGAATTGAATTGAATTAATTTAAACTCAATTAAGTGTGTTTTAGACTTTTGAACCAACTCGCAGCACTGGTTGTCCTGCTCCCTCACTGTCTGCGACATCATGATCTCACAGCATCCTGTGCGTGCTCGCAGGAAACCACAAGCTAGGCAAACGACAGCAAATGGTCTACTCACACCTGGTGATGCCCTGCTTGGCCGAGGCAGGAGCATGTCAGCCAGCAGCAGAGGATCTCGACCGCCTTCAGCATGTGGTTCACAACCGCGTGGTAATATCAGTCGCGCACGCTCACCTCTAGCAGCCCATCCACCATTGGCCTCAACTGAGATAGCTCAGATTGCTGCCATAGCTCCCATCAGCATTCCATGTACACCATCATCCGATGGCTCCCTCGACGAACCTATAACTATCGGTGTGCGTCGCCAAAGGGTGGATTCCGGTGTGAGTCTGGGTTGCCCTGTTACCCTTACGCCCCGCAGCACGAAACGGCTTAAAGTCTATGCAAATCAAATTGCGGAGGAAGTTGGTGTTCCAATCACCAGTCTTCACGAGTTTATCGATGTATGTATTTTTTTTAACTTGCTGTAAATGTACATGATTTAATGTTCCTTCAGTGTGGAGGCATATACCAGATGCTTGTCAGGATCGTAGCCCTTGTGCTCAAGAACGACGGTGACAAAAAACTTAGATTGCTCGCCAATCTGAAAGAGTTACTGGGCTCTAAAGATTTCAAGGTATTATTTGCCGTGTCTGCACACATCACGAGTCTGACTTATCATTTAATGAGTCTGCACTTCAAAACCGTCTGACCGCATGCATGCTTTCGCCCAATATCACTGCATACGTGACAGATACACACCCGCAGATCTTGGTAGATTCTTTCTGATGCTATGAATGGAAATTGAAGCAAACTGACACCGTGACAGAAATTCATCAAGAAACACCAAGATGTATTCAAAGTTCCGGCATTGCTGTTCGAAGACGTGGAACTCACCGCACTTTTTGCTAAGGTCGTCAGCGAGTCTCTCTCTACAATCCGTGGCAATATGAAATCTAAGGTGCGTAGTGCTAATAACAATCGCAAATTTTTCTGAAATAATATTTTTTCAGTTGACTGCATCTATTGCTAAACGCACCAGTATCACAGACGTGGCCAGATCCCTCGCCCATGGTTGTATTGAAGTTGACGCAGCTCATTGGAACAGGCTCGCGTTTTTGGTATGTTTTTATCACAACGAATATTATATAGATAGTAACCTCTTGAGACTAGCGACGCTGCTTGCGTGTCTACTTACTCGGCACTGGTAACTACAAAACCGTGCCTCTGCGTACTCTTTACTCCCCCCTGCTTGTACCTTCTCTTCCGAAAGAAGTCCGCCAAAAAATCGGACCACAGCTTGGCATCGACATCGATGAGATAGAGCACAACATGCTCGACGGTGACGCCGAAGAGGACAACAATGACACTGATGCCTTTCAAGATGATATCGCTCATGAAAATGCAGCCCCCAGGAATGTTGATGGCGACGATGGCCATGATGGGAATGAGAACGTTGATGCAGATGCGGACCACAATAAGGACGACGCAGACTTCGAGGCTGATGTGAACGACGCGGCGGACATTAATGTGGACGGATCGGTCGTCACAGAGAAAGACCTCTACACGGCGGGAAGGTTTTGGAATTTTGTAGACTCCTCGCTCGCAGGCGCACGCAAGGCTGCGAAGGAACAAGCGATGGAAGACAAGGGTCTAGCGTATGAGAAAGCATATAGCGAGTAAGTTTCTTGTTACCGGGTGTTGCGCCTTGTTGCTGATTATCACAAAGCATCCTTGTGCAGTACCTACAGCAGGATCTTTCTGATTTTCCTGGAAATACCAAAGTCCCAACGCTTCTCTCCACCAACCGCCCCCAGTGGCAATTGACCATTCAGAACCAACTCCTTTGGAGCCACGCGTAACGCTCGTTTATACTCTGCCTTGACACCATAGTAATCATGCCTGTACCTACTATCTACCAGTAATCTAATATTTTGTGTGGCTCGTTCCATTTATTGTGCACTCTTTCAGTGTGAGGATGGTGTGCGGGTGTCATCTAAGTATATTATATCTGAGAATTCAATCATATCAAGGTATTGAGCATATCTATATACAACATATGAAAGCTACCCTGTGTGACAGGTACGAACGAGATGTCTGTGCTAGATGTGGTATAAGATATATTCAGCACTTGTCATTTCCTATATAGACTAAAGCTCGGGTAACTAATATATTTTGAGTGTCTTGGTGATGTGTCTCAGTGGTCGTTAGTATATTTCTCAAGCCCGGCACATTCTCTCTTCACTAGGACTATAATATATTTATCTCCAATAAGTGGTGCGAAAGTTATGTGACTAAGGTCGTGGAAATATGCGCTACAGCTTACTATTTTTGGGACTGTATAATAGATTTTCGGCAGCAAGTAGTGTACTAGGATGCAATAAGACGTTGTCATAATCATAGTGCACCTGTACAGCGACCAAACGGTCGCATGCATTCACGGGCCCGTTCCCACCCAGCTGGACTTCAATATTTAATGCCCTTCCGACAGTTCTCTATCGCCATTGCACACGCCCTGTTCCCTTGCGCCTCTGTTTCTATCAAATATGGAAAGAGCTCATTTATCTACAACCTCGCTGCAAGCCTGATATGTTACCAACTGCTCGTCAATATATCACAGGAACTTCGTCTCTCCGTGGTTCACGCGAATACATCAGTCTCGTCACCGGCCACTTGTCATTGGTCATGTCCTGAAGAGGCTTTTCGAGCAGTTCCCCCCTACCACACTCTTCCCGAACCTTTGCGAATTGCATTTAGAGGCCGTGTTCGGTCTTCTGGAGCGTAGTTCAAAATTCTGGCTACTTCGGCAGTTCATTTCGCCTGGATTGCAAGCGCTCTGGTTTGATGTAACTGGCATCCCGACACATGAGGTAGAGCAATTGTTTACTACTCTGCCCGCAGAAGCACATGGCCTGCGCCAATTATCAGTATCGGCGGGCAATGGTACCACGGCTTTGACAGTCCCCCCGAGTCTTGGAAAGCTGCCAAAGTTGATTAGACTGGCCATTTTCGGAATCGATGTATCTTTGACGAGGCAGACAATAGCCAATATCCAGCAAGCACGATGTCTTCAAAGCCTCAAGCTTAAATTGTGCGGAACCTCCTGCGATGCGGGCGGTATACCCCTTGAATTGCCTAGTCTCAAAACCCTCTATCTCTCCGATGGTTCCTTGCCACAGTGCACGCACTTCCTTCGTCAAGTCACCACCCGACAACTATCACACATCAATATCAGCTATCGCGGATCTGCCAGCCCGGCCGAAGTCACCGCGTTCGTGGAATCCTTGTCGACGTCATGCCAAACTTTTGAACATTTGGAACGGATCTATGTGGTCGACAAATCAGAACATCCTGATTATCTGCTCGTCATCCCACTCCACTCCGAAAGCTTCCGGCCATTGTTCAAGTTCAAGAGGCTGTCGTCTGTTAAATTCATTGGCATTGGAAATTTCGAACTTGACGATAGGTTCCTCAATGATATCCCAGTTGCCTGGCCGAGTATTCAGGAATTGAAGTTCATCTCCTGGAAGAGACGTGCCTTTTATAGCGTCACCTTCACCACCATGATGTCACTGGCGTCAAGGTGCAGATCGCTGCGTACCTTACATCTGACGGTCGATGCTACGCAACCGACGACGATTCCTCGAGCACCGGATGGGACCGAGGAGCTTTGGGCCTACGCAAACCACCCTACGCAACCTGCATCTTGGATACTCCCGGGTGTCGGAAGTTGCACGCGTACCATATTTCCTGGCCGAGGTATTTCCAACTCTATGGGATTTCAAATTCTACGAGCTTTACTTGAGGAATTGCGCTGCCGATATTGATTTGCGATTAGCACTGGAGGAAGCACATTCGCAACTCATGGCGCTTCGAAACTCCCCTTACGACAATTCGGATAAGCTATGGGAGAACAATTCAGACGACAGTGGGACGTGAGAAGTGTAGGAGTGGATATTTCATCGTAACGCAATCGAGGTTGTATTTTAGACTAGAGTAGTATGGCTGTATACGTCGACTCTATCATGCTTGTATTCCTGGTGTTGGTATATGTCTGAAAGCAAGCAACACTGACCTAGAAAGAAGTAACTCACGCGGTTTATTGCAACCGCACCGTTTCACCGGGCTTACGCTGAGAGCTACGGCTGCGATATACCCTGTAATCAAGATTTCGTTCATGCTAGACGCACGAGAAGTTCTGTCTAGGAAGGGTAGGAATGATGTTTTTAAGTTACTTATCGTTATCCATGATGTGTTGCTGCGCCCTCGGTTCTCTCTTACAGCGTGTTGCATATGAGATTGGCAGTGTACGTGTTTTTCAAAAGTCCGAGTCGGGCCGGAACCGGCACTAATGAGGTCAAGGGATGTGACATCTTGTATACTGTCCCTCTCCGAGCATTGAGCAAGCTGAGATATTTCAAGACTGTCCTGTGCTGTTCAAACCACAAGAATACGATATTCTTGGCGCATTTCCTGGCTGGTGAATGGCCCCATAATGAACTGACTGAGGTTTCGTTTCATCAAGCGGCAGGCCCTGGCTGGAGCGACATACTACATCCTTTGACCTAATTAGGTTGTTTCAAAGCTTCGCTGAGGTACGTCGTCTCATAGCTCGTAGCAACAACTCACACTAACTCGTACGTAGACTCTAAACTAGCGAACTTAATACAGCACATTTATAGCTACTACTATCCTACTAATGCAGTGCCCTCAACATGTACCCGCACAAAATCCGAACCAGCAGCCATTCCTGTGTCTGGATCACATGCAGCGGTCACGGCAGTCGCATTTTCACGATGCCCGAAATTTCTATATAAGGAATACAAAACTCAAAACATTACCGGTCGTCGACCACATTGCAAGTTTCCACACACATTTACATAAAGCATCCTTATGGTACGACAGCTTTGAGTCATGATCGTGCAACTGCCTCATCTACGTGAATTGCACAGATACCACCCCTTTATCTCATTTCGCACTGGATGGCGGTATACATATACAGTGCGAATGATTGTCATACTCATCTACCAAGTTTGCTTCTTATCCACACCCAATTCTCTACCAATATGACTACAGTCCCAGATGATCCGGCTTTGTGGCCGACGATTAATGCAAATCGTATTTTTAGCTATTTTACAGGTTCGTAGAGAGCAGTCGGATCCAATATTTCAATCTAACCTCTACTGCTGCCTTGCAGTTGCAGCCTTCATTGTAGTGACATATGATTTGGGTAAGCATGATGATATCCAAGGACTGCTGATTTCACAAGTACTTTCAGCACTTACGTTTGGACAAGAGGTATGTCGATGCTATTACCGGAGCAGCCATCTCGCTGAGAATGGTTTTATAGGTGGAACTGATCTGGGTGAGTACAGTCTGGTGTCAGAGGAACACACGAAAATACATTTGATTCCAGAGACAACGCTGGTCCCTAATGACAGTTTGTATCTCAGTGCATGTACCTTATTTGTTATTGTTGCCATGTTGTGCTAACTTGAAAGTATTTTAGGCGCGCTACCTTGGAATCTTATCTGCTGCGTATGTTCGGAAGGCTACACAATCGGTGTTGTACTAACTGTCTATCTCTTATAATCAGCATGTACATGTTAGGTATGTCTCAGTGCATTCGTTGTATTTGCTTCTTCTGACCAATGGCATTCAGGGACTGTTCCGACCATCTTGCTGTCAGATACAGTGAGTCTTCTACGCATATAATTGCCATTCGCTTTAATTAACCGCAATGCCATGTAGGAGTGGGTGTGGTTCTTTACTAACTCATTGGTTCACTAATGACTGCCATGCTATCATCCGTCACAGATGTGAGTCTGTTGGAGTGTGTGCTACCCGAGGCTGGTCACTTATTGATTTGTCAGGCTT